TATGCTGATCTCTAATGTAAATTTTGCGATTACTAAATAAATTTATTATATTTGCTGAAACTTTTTTATCTTTACCAATTTTAACCATTTTCTTAAATAGGAATATCAGATCAACAACATCATATGCGCCAGATAGATCAATAAATAAACATAACGTAAATTGATTTTTGGAGAAATATAATTGAATATCAGTAACTAAATGACTTACAGCATCTATTGTACCTTGTCCTCTACGAAATCCAAACTGAGCTCGAGGTAAAAGTGATTTACTTTCTACAAAGTGTTTTAATCTTAATTTAATCAATCTTTCGAAAGTCTTCGTAATACAAGATAGTAAGGAAATAGGACGGTAAGATGATGGTAAAAGAGGATCCTTATGTGGTTTTAATATAAGGCAAACTATTATATTTTTAAGACAGTCAAAATACTCTTGTTTCATCCACCAATCAGTAAAGGCCTGTAACAGCAGATTTTTTGCACACAGAGGAAGGTTATTGATTATTTTATAAGTGAAGCCGTCAATTCCCGGGGCTGTATTACTATTATTTTTTAAAGCTAAGTCCAATTCAGCGACAGTAAATGGGTTTGATAAATAATTGTTCTTATTGTGAAAAGTAAAGTGTTCTAGTTTTTGTTCGATGAAACTGGAAACAGAAGGAGGAGCCAATTTGTTTAAAACTTCTTCAATCAATTCTTTGGATATAGGTGCTTTCCTTTTTTGATAATTTTTATTACTAATAGCTTTAATGTGTCGCCAAATGTCAGTTAAAGGCGTATTTTTATTTAAGTTATTTAAAAATGATACCCAACTATTTCGTTGTTTGGTTTTGAATAAACGTTTAGTTAGGGCAGCAACTTTTTGGTAAGTCAGATAGTTATCAAAATTTCCTACTTTTATGAAATTTTTTAGTGACTCCGAACATTTTTTGATCATATCCGTACATTCCTCATCCCACCAAACTGGTCTAGGGGTAACGGGAGTAAAACACTTTTTTGAGGGCATAGTTTGAGAGGCTACATCAGATATTAGTTCTAACAATGATTCGACTTTTCTTGTACAACTTATATTTATTGCGGGGATCTTATTTTTAATTTCAGTTTCTAGAGTTATCTTAAATGTATTCCAATCAGCGCGGGCATCATTCCATTTGGTAGATGGATTAATGTAAAAAGTTGAGGGACTAGTTTGTAACTTAATAATTATCGGAAAATGATCCGATCCCAGGGTATCAGATAAGACTGACCAGTCCAATTTTTCCACTAATAAATGTGAAGTGAGGGAAAGGTCGACTGCAGAGTGATTTCCATTTGGGTTGATCCTAGTAGGAGTACCATCATTGAGGGTTACTAAATCTAAATGCTCTATAGCTTCAACTAAAATTTTTCCATTGCTATCATCTGGAATCTGACCCCACATATCATGATGACAATTGAAATCACCACAAAAAAGTGTGGACAAATTGAACTGTTCAAATAAATTTATCCAATCAGAAGGGTTTACTATCAGATTTGGAGGTCTATAAATTGACACAATTGATACATCTGCTGAAGGTAGGTGAATTGCGCAAGCTTCAATATTACTACTAAAATTCAAAGATAATTTCAATTCCTTGTACACTAATGTCTCTGTTAGATTCTACAGTTGATGATACAAAAGTTAAGCTTGACTGGCATTTTCAATTATTAAAAAAAAAAAAATAATAAATCGATACAGAAATAATTATAAATAAGTACAAATTGATTCACTACATGAAAGTTACTAAATTACCCCTTAAAGAATCAATCCAAAACTATTTAGAAATTAAATTAAAAAAAAAAAAAAAGAAATTGTAGATATTGATAAGACAAATTCGATAAAAATGAATTATTTAAGTGATTAGCTTGGGAAATCCTTACGGTATAAACTGGACCACCCTGTATTTTATCTATTCGATGCACAAATAGGTTTTTCATTGGTATCTTCCTGTAGGTATAAATAAATTTATAAATAAATGCTAGTAAAAATATAGAATAGGTAGGTATATTTGAAAAAATGTATTAAGTCTTATTGTTTGAATAGAAATAAATTTGATATTTATTAAAAAAGTCTTCAATTGATATTTCTAATGAACACTTGAATCTTAAAACAGTTAAAAAACAAACTCGTAATCACCAACTAAAATAAAACCTCACTAATTATTTTTCGAGAATCCCTCTCTTTAATGATTCAAACAAAATTAACAATCTCTTTCGCGACAAAACCCAAAACTTATCTCTATCAAAAGGACTTAATCCTGCCACTGACTGTACTTTCAGCCATTGCTGTTGGTGTCTTTCTCTTCGCTAAAAAAATTATCCCTCTCCGCCTCTATCCGTCCCTCTCCCTCTCGCTAACGACATACGCGCGCCCCTTCGAATGAATATTCTGAAAGTTCCGGTTTCCATCATAAGATAGCATAGCGAATTTTGCGCCCTTTCAGATGTAAAAATATGTAAATATGACTGAAAGCCTTTGTATGCGGCGCAACTTTTTATTCACCTAAAAGAGGGTTCGTGGATTAGAGGTGGACGACCGTGGAACTGACACGTGGAACAGTTCTATTAATATGTTACAAGTAGAATGAACTATATTCTGTTCAGTTTTTATTTAAATCGAGCTTGGCCATGGAAATAATTGATGGACGATATCGTGATTTTTCAATCACGTTGTAAATCGTTATGTTACTTTTTGATATCAGTGATTGAAAAGCGTGACGTGATCACGACCTGTAAATTTCGCGCGTTCGATAACAAGTCGCGTTGTCAAGATAGACAGGTAGATAGATAGATACCAAATAATGAAAAATATATGAAAAAAAAAGAACCATAATGATATCCTTCCGTGATTTAGTATAGCCAAACGAAGGACAATAAGGCACGATGTCGTATGCCACGCATGTTATTACAATTGAGATTTGCAAAAATCGACCTTATTAGCATACGTTTGTCACTAAGTCACGGAGTCGCCTGCTACCTATCATATTTTAAATGATTTGAAACGAAAATCGACTTAATGACGTGACTGAAGGTAATATCGGTATTGCAAAAGCCTAAAAGGTTTGAGTACGAAATAAGAAACCAATATTGTGTGTGAGCGTGATCACTTCATGACTTTTTTCACAAGTTGGTAACGGGAACGACTTGATATTTGTTGGTATCAGTGATTAAATCACAGTTCGTGAAATATCGCTCATCACTATGTGTTATGCATTAAATATCGAATGAATTCAATATTTAGAAAGTGCAAAATTGTAGAACAAAAAAATCACAGATATTGATAGGGGAGATAGGAAAAAGCCATTTTCCCCGGTGTTTCAAAATAAGCATACCATGTAGGCCGCCATGTTTGTAATTTAAGCGTATCACGCACATGCGCAGTTGCTGTAATGTTTCGACAGAAGTGTCATTTATGTAAACTCGTCTTGGTTTTTTGGAAATTCGCGATTTTAGTGAATTTAAAAGAATTTTAGAAGTTTTTACTATAGACAATTAATAAAATGGGAAAGACGTGCTTTGTTTTTTGGTTGTTTAAACAACGAGGATTCAGAAAACTTCACATTCCACAAGTAAGACATCTTTTACAACCCCAAATTCCAGGATTGTTTTAGTTACGCAGCACCATTATTGTTGAATTCAGAACCTAATAATTTAAATTTGAATTTTAATAATTTGGTTAAGACTATTAGGCAGACAATGATTAAATTTAAAATAATTCTTATAATTATTATTATAATGAGGATGAATTGAAAAACGGCTTAGCCGAATTCATTCGTTTTGAGACACTAATGTATTTAAAGTTGCCCAATAAACATGATTTATTTATTTATTTAAATATAGTGATGTTCACATTGACAAAAAATATACAGTATGTTAAGCCGGCGCATTAGGCAAAATAAAGATGAGACGCTTAATTGTATTTGAATACCGAATCACTTGGTTGAAGTTGCCTGACCGGTATATAATGTTTAGCGATTGATGTATCTCTGCAGTTTGGGACGAAGGAAGAAATCCCTTATTTTTACCTTTAACTTACCACAGCGTATATTACCTATTTACCACACAGATAAGTGCAATTGATCTAATCAATAAATTGTTTTAAATTTGAATTATGTGCAAACTTATGTGAAATAGAATTTGATACCTACCTTATCTAAAGCATTTTTTAAGTATAATTTGTTAGTGGTTAATGATTTTCTATATTTTCATTACTAATACAGAGTAAAGTATATAAGTTTTAAATATAGTGGTTACCAACTTCTTTTTCAAAGTTATTAGAGTTATTTAAAAACCTAACCCACGCCCTATAAATTGAGCTCAAACACATATATCAGATAAAAAACCAACTAATCATGTTACAAAAAAGGCGCCTCAACTGGGTTAAATAGCTCCTAACCTTGAAATAGTTTCTTTGTAACTTATAACTTATCATTCTAATTCCCATAGGTATTTCACAGAGGTAGGTAAACTAAACTAACTGCATGTCTTGTATTGTTACTAATACTTTCTTACCTCTTAGCTTAAAATTTTCTATACATCTGCATATCGTACTAGGTCAAGTTTTATATAATATCTGCATATTGTACTAGGTCCAGTGTTTATTTATGAATATTTTGCTAGTGATATATCTAAACATTCATTCTACACTGATCAAAATGTATAGAATATGGATTTTTACCTAAAATTGATTTTTGTGCCTATAGAGTAAAAATTTTTTTTTGTTAGTGATAAAATTTGTGCTTTTATTTAGTTAAATATATTGCTTTTTACATTTTTTCTGACTGATATCTTCTTTATTAAAATGATACCCAAACATTTAAAAACTCATGAGTGAAACTATGAGTTTTTAATCAGAGGGGTAGACTTACCTTCCACTGCAGAACAAAAAAGAAAAGTTTTGAGTGGTTTTGTTATCTCAAGAGTCACACAATAGGAGTTTTTCAGAGAAAAATAATTCTTATAATCATAAAGATGATATCACAGAAATGAAATTGTCAATTAAAGAAGTTAATACAGAAATAGAAAATTTTACTGGTAATAAATCTGATCCAGCTTTTAAACGAATTAGTTCTAGATTAGTTCACTTGTCTAATAGGGTAGCTAATTTAAAAGTAGAATCTGATGAGGAAGCTACAGCTCAAAACACAATAAAAACAAAAATAATCATGTTAGAAGCTGATTTATCAGAAAAAATTAATAACAATTCTCCTAGTTTTAACACTAGTACTGTATCTACAGAACAAGTTACTTGTCCTTCATATAAAAGTGTAGATGTTTATAAATGGGGTGTATACTATGATGGTAACAATTTGTTTGATTTTTTGGAACATGTTGAAATGTTAAGAATGAAACAACAAGTGTTTCAGCGTAGCTGTGATCTTTTAAAAGATGATGTTCTATTTTGGTACCTATATGAATAATTGTTCTAAATTCACTGACTGGGATCACCTTGTAGAACAATTAAAATTACATTTCTTACCTTGTGACTATCAATATAATTTAGAATTAAAGATTCAAAATAATAAAATAATAAACTTTTTTCTACACTCACATGTATATTATTAATTTTACGCACAGACTACAGAACGAAAAAGTAGGTCATTGAACGAATATATTTATCCATTCTAAGAAGAACACTGTACAGTTATGAAATCCACCAATCACAGTCACTAGGATACCATTATTTTTTTAAATTTTAATAGAGTGACAATTCTGTCAAACTAATTTTCAGTATATTTTTTAGTTATTGAAATTAAATATAATTACAAATAAGTGATTATTGTGAAGAATCGATAAGTAATGGCACGACATATTCACAAGATATTATTTGATATTTTCAAATAAATCTAAAATCAATTTATGATAATTAAAAAAACATGTGTCCTTGGTACTGTCATGGGAATCCTAAGCCGTCTCTGTATAGCGCGACCTTGGAAGTCTGCCACCGATTCATGCTCGAGAAACGCTTCGAGAAACTTCCAGAACGGGCGGTGCGTACCGTGGACTCATACAGATGGAATTTTCGGAAGCGTCTAGAAACTACTAGTACAGAATTGGCTTGGTATAAATAGCGCGACTTATCGACGGACGGGCATATTCGAATAAAGTGTTGAGCAGAAAAGTTGAATTGTAATAAATAAATTAGTATTGTGAGTTAGTGCTTAAGTATTATATAGATTAACTAGTACGTCATAAATAAATTGTAAATAGTGTGTTTTAAATAAATAAACTATAAATCAATTAAACTATCGTCACATTGGTGTTAAAAGTGAAACTATAAATAAATAGTGGACAATAATAGCTAAAAAAACTATTTGATTTAAAAGTGCCTGAGCTACGTCGAGAATTAGAAGAACGTGAACTGGAGACGACAGGGAAGAAATGAGAGCTGGCAGGACGACTTAAAAAAGCACTAGAAAATGAAGGTTTGGATCCGGAAACTTTTCTATTTTCAGATAATGCGTCTGCTACAATTTCTTCAATTTCTTCTGTTATGTCTTCCATGAAAACCGATATTTCTTCTAATATTTCCTCATAAGAAAATAAGGTTTCTTCAGAGGTTTCTCTATAAAAAGTGATATTACTTCCTTAGAAAGTAAAGTTTCTTCAGACGTTTCTTCCTTAGATAGTATAGTTTCATCCTTAGAAGAAAATGTGTTTTCTGACATATCTTCTTTGAAAACCAAAATTTCTTCCGACTTGGAATACAAAATTTCTTCTCTAAAAAATAAAATCTCTGTCAATGTGTAAAATAAGATGTCTTCTGTAGAGGAGAAAATAAAACAGATGAAAAAGAAGATAGAAGAACTGGAACATACAGAACCGACCAAGGACGGTGAAATAAAGTGCTATGAGGTGAAAGTGCCAACATCCATGGGGAAATCCAGGTTCAATTGGGAATTGGTACAGAAAAGTTCACTCATACTATTATTGTCGCTGATATCGAAGATGTTATTCTTGGAATGGATGTAATGAACTTAAATGGTTTTCAGTTGGACTTTAAGAACAGAGTGATCAAAGTTGGTACCAAAGAGGTATTCCTACATCCATATGGGGACAGTGCCGTGCCAGTTGCTGTACAGGAGGATACGGTGGTACCTGGCAGAAGTAAAACTGTTATAGTAGCACGGCTTCAAGAAACTATGGAAGAAGGAACACCTTTCATGATGGAACCTTAAAACCACGATGAAGAGGTTGGACGAGGTATTCTGATTGGAAAGGGGTTGGTCACGATTGCTAAAGAAATTCCAGTCCGTCTCATAAACAATAACGACATGCTATTGAACCCTAATAAATGTTACAGTTTGACATTCTGTAAGATTAAAACAGCAATTACCTTTGATTACACTTCAGATAATAATCCAATACACAAAGTTCAAGAAATCCGTGATTTAGGCGTTGAATTTGATAGCAATCTTTTCTTTGTTCCTCATATAAACCCAGTCATTTCAAAATCACTACAGTTACTTGGTTTTATTAATAGAAACTCTAAAGACTTGAGTATTGCAGCATTAAGAACCTTATTCTTAGCCTATGTTAGATCCACACTTAAATATACATCTGTTGTTTGGTCTCCGCATTATTCGGTGCATATCCAAAGACTGGAAGCTGTTCAACATCGGTTTCTGAGAATCTGCGCTCACAGAATGGGATACGCACAGGGTACTTACGACTACGAAACGATTGTAAGACTTTTAAACCTTGAATTTTTATTTATAAGAAGATGTATTAATGACCTATTGTTTTTTCATAAAGTGTTATCAGGTAAAATAAATTGTAACGTGCCATTTCGTGTACCAGCTAAGTTAACACGAAATGTAGTTTTGTTTGAGCTTCCACAGCATAGAACAAACTACGGTTATTTTAACCCATTATCTAGAATTATGCGCCTTTGTAATAATTATAACTGTGACATAATAGGAACCTGTTACAATAAATTTAAAAGACAACTCTGTTTGTCACGCCCTAGAATCAGTTAGAACTGTGGGTTTATTTCAATTGTTTTTTTTAATTTAATTTAAATTTGTTTTAATTTAAATTTATTTTGAATTTTACCTTTCAATTGTTTTTTTTTGTTATTTTAGTTAGGTTAAGTTGATACTTTATTATTAAAACGAGGAAAAGGCCAAGAGAGAGGAAGCTTAAAGTATTGTTCGGGAAATGGAGAAAGACAGGGCGATAGAACCTTCTACCAGCCCATGGGTCTCTCCGGTAGTCCTGGTCCAGGAAAAGGTATAAGCAGGGGCGGTTTCTCTATTGGTTCATTTGGGCAGTGAAAACCCAGTTACATTTCATAAAAACACATTATTTTCAAATAAATAGCATAAAAATATAAATTCAATTTTAATAATTTTATTTTTTTCATACGTGTTAATCTCTATTTTTTGGTACGCCATTGCGCTCTGGCTAATCGCATCCCTTTGGCCCGTTTTTCTGATTGAGCCCGCGGGAGTGAGATGCTTTCCCTAAAGCCTTTAGCTAAAAAGAGATGTCAACACGTTAACAGATCGATAAAATGAACAATGACCTACTTAAAATCACTAAAATCATCTTATTTTGCACTGCGCACGCAGTGACATCACAAAGTAGGGCGAAACCTGCAAATCTTTCAAATCATGGATAGAATAAAGATATACAATGACGGTACTAGAAGTGTCTGTACTTTTGCATTATCCTTTTACTACATAATATGTCAAACTCGAGCTAGTCAGTTTTGGTAATAATAAATGATTTAAATGATATAAAAACATTTTCATTCCATCAATCTTTAAATATAAATTGATAAACTTAAAATTAATAATCAAAATATGACTCAAAGTGCCTCCACTTGTCATATCACAAAATAGTGTTCATATGTCTATACCTAGTTCATTCTCTATCTTCAATCTACAATCAAGATGTCAAATTTTAAAAATCCAACATAAGAATTTGACAGTGATTAGCAGTATATTGGATGTACACGTTTTATTTGTATATTGGTCTCCTTTTGACAGAGTAGGTGAGCTGTGTCCACGCGGTCGGCGTAGTCAGGTATGGATTAAAATTTTCCGGTGGCGGCGAAGCCGCCATCCTACGAGAAGTCGGTGCTTCGTCTTCTTGTTATCACGGCATTATTATTATTATTTGTTCGTGTATGTGAAATTTGCTTCTAAGGTCTATAAAATACTACAGAAAAATACTTAAGTCTTCCTCTCCATTATCTGAAATAAAGTTAGGTTAGAATTATGATGTACAAATAATGAGGGATACATCCGATGTACAAATATTTCGTGTACATCCGATGTACTGCTAGTCACGGCGTAAGAATTTTAATTGTGTATTGAATTTATTAAAAATTAAGTTATAATAAAACTGCGACTTTAATAAATTAGAAGTATGTGTGTCAATTCAACGATTGTTCCTGAAAAACTTCTTTATAGCAAGGTACATAAAACTTTTTAAGGTTATGTTGTTTTATTTACCTATAATAAAGTTTTACGACTGTAATTATTTGTTTTATATTTTGTTTCAGTGTCTAAGACTAATTCAAAATGTTAATCTATTTTGTGCCAATCTGTAAATACTATGAAGTAAAAAGTAAGCTAAAAATTTGTAAATTTTTTGTGTTTTCCACAAAACCCGCTGAAAGAAAAAATTTGTTTATTCTGATAAGGTAACATTATGGAAATGGAAATGTACACTAAACGTTGGATAAACATAAAGAGACAGGGTTTTTCACTTCAAAAGTGTGAATCGAAAAAATGGATCAACCAGTTGAATTTAATGAGAAACTTTACCTAAAAAATGGTATGTACATACATTTAAATAGTTTGTATAAAATTATGTCTGCCTGTAATTATCAATCATGTTCAAAAATATTAGGTGTATTGGTAATTTAGATCCTTGCAGGTATTAAATAAAAATAAGGCTGATGGTAATTTTTTTTACAGTTGGTAATAAAGTATGTCTCGAAAACAAGTATCAAATATTAGTCACATCCCACATATCTCTATGCCCTTTCCGAAATTTTCGCACAAACACTTTAACACTTTGTCTTTTGACTTGTAAGCAAATGCAAGAAAATGTAAGCAAAAAAACTTGCTTACATTTTTCAGGTTTTGGCGAATTTAAAAAGTCTTTTTATCCTCACTTCCCCATCTACAGAATGGCATCTCCAATAGCATACATACTGGATCATGTACTGGAAACATTGTTAGAAAAATCGAAAAAAACTCGCAATAGTCGAAATTGACCAACTAGTCCAACCACTGTATAAAAATAGTACCGACAAGAAGAAGCAAACTGAATCAACGCGTTAAGTGCATTAATTGGCTAGATCGAAACGTGCCGTTACCATGGCAACCATCATAAACGTGCCGATAGAAGAGACGCGTGTTCGGCGGTTTTATGCATAGCGTGTCAAGCGCTCCGTTCGCTCGGA